TTTTTTTTTTGCGCGTTTAACTCTTTATCGCCCTTCTTAATTCCTTTGTTATCCACTCTCCGCTCAACTATCATTAAGGTTGGCATCGGCGTTTGGTTTTCCCAATGGCGTTGGTATAGATCTAGATCTACGTGTGACGATATCTAATGTTGATGGCCGTGGCCAGTAAGATGGTTGAGCTACTTTCTGGTCATATCTATCGATATCCATTGTATATGTGGTTGGGAATCTGCACAGACAGACGGTAGAATATATTTGGCTACTATATTGGACTGAATTGGCATTGCAGCAAAAGTCTTTTGAACAACGACTCCTCGAATGGTGGAATTCCCTGTGGATTAGATTTGACGATTCATTGGGGTTGATAGATATTGACAAAAAGTCTATGCGACCTATATCTTGCGGACTTCTTGGACTTTTCGATTCTTATCGACGATCAAATGAAGCTGTCTGTCCTCCCAGCTTGTAGAAGGTCTAGATGCAGCTGTTGTATGTGGAACAGGCCGGAAGGTACCTGCTCGAAGGCCATCGGTGAAAAGCTCATATGAGGGGTAGTCTGTTTTCGTTAGCATGGCACTGTTTTCATGCATCATTATGCAAATAGAGGAAAAGGAGCGGGGTAGCATACAGCCATTGACAAAGTGAGTGACCTGTTCCGGGGTCATGCCCGTTCCTTTGGCAGCTAGAAGCGTCCTTTCTTGTTCCTGTCGCCAGTCATAGACAAAGTGTGAGTCTTGGGCATCACTGCAGGTCACGTTAGATTCCACAAATGGATACTGAAGCAAAGGGCAAGACCAGCAAGCTGGCAGAACTTACATATGGATCAGAGCATCCAACTGACTGTCGTAGATTATCCGTTAGCCCTTATCCCTCCAACTCCAGTCGCATCCAACAAGGCAAGGGGGTCTAAACTCACTCAGTGATCAGATCGTATTCCTTCAGCGCATCATTAACAGCCTTGACAGCCTCAAACGGCACATATCCCAACCGTCCATCATAGCCACCCTTCTCTTTCCGCATAACAGCATCATCCCACCTCTCGCGCAGGAGCCGATCATCCACAGCGCGGAAACCGACACACCAACCCTCGAAAATGACGACCTTTATCTTATCCTGCCCCTCACCATTAACGATCTCCCATTGCGACTCGGGTACGCGGTCACCCTGCCCCGCATACACCGATTTATCATACTGCGGAATAGCCGTGGCTCGGCCCGCGCGGAGAGATTCAAAGACCTCCTTGGCTAATGGCAGATCATGGGTACCCGGTTGCCCGCGATGCTGCAGTAGTGGGTTTGCAGGGTGCGACTTGGCGAGATTGACCTGTTCCTCGTGGGTGAGGTATAGATCGTCAAGCGAGAGCGTGATAACGGGGAGGGAGTATGGCGCGGAGCGGAGAGTCGATTGGAGGGTGGACACCTTTACATGTTTGCAATATAACCGTTAGACATCTATGTAGACATGGTTCAACCCGAATAGAACTAGATTTCTCGCATCAATTCATACCAGCACCGTCTTTCCGGCTCCCTGGACGCCATTCAACCCCAGAAAGAATGGTGGGGTTCTGACCGGGTCGTTTCCGAAACGCTCTTGGTGGGCTTTTAATCGCTCCAGGAGGAACGGGATGCAGTGTTGGGACTTGTCGTCGATGATTTCGGGCATTTTTGGTGGTTTGTTTTGGTTTTTACTGTGTTGGCTCTTTTTTGCTTCTTGTTTTTTCCCTTGCTACGACTACGTTTGTTTGTTGAGGGTGATTTATGTTTTATATGGGGGACTAAGAAGAAAAGCGCCATGTCGGAGGTGCGCCGAAGCGGAGAACCTGGAGATTCGAATGTCCGGGCGGTGGGGGACAAAGATTGTGCCTGATAGATTAACCATGGGTCTGGCCATTGTGGTGGGCTTTCAACTGCGAAAAGGTCTTTTGGACACGGAAGCTCGTCCCAGGGGGGACTGAGGGTAGTATTTAAATCTCTCTTGCCTTTTAGATTACTGAACATTTGGTTGTCTCATGGCAGACACGTGATGATGACGTCGGATCACATGTCTGAGTCAGCAAGGTCATGTGTTGCCTGATTGGGGTTAGTCTGCGCATTGAATCGTGATAGCCATGCGGATTACATAATAATGCCGATGCATAACTAACGAATGCTAGCGTCGGCAGCCAGACAAGGGAAATTTCCATGCTGGAGTAGTCGACAGAGGTGCATCGCAGCGAGGTTCCGCATCTATGGATGGCAGATCTCTTCATTAAAAACACCCCATCTATGCCTTAGGAACACCGGATTACTCGACAAAATATGGGGTTCTCGATCCAGGAGAGCTATATCGGCATGTGAACGAGGGATCATCTGCCTAGATCCGCTTGGTGCGTGGGAACCTCCGAGCTTCAAAGCAACCAAAAAGATGCCGAGGTTCCAAATGCATAGTGTCCTTGCCGAGCACCGCGACCGTCCACTTACTCCCCCAGATCCAAAGGCTTCTTCAACTCTGCTCTCCCCCAGACTTTCCCCTCATACTTAAACTTACTACGGACCTCCCTAAATCCTCGTTGAACTTTGACTACTTTGTCTATCCTCCTCTCCTCCCCTCTTCTCCTCTCCTCCTCAATAATACTGAAACATTTTGTGCGGAGGCACCACGTTATTACATTCTCGGTGTTTGCTTTTCCCTTTCCTTTTTGTTTTAATTATACCCGTACAAGATGTCTGAGCTGCGCTTCGACAACCAAACCGTCGTTGTGACGGGAGCCGGCGGTGGCCTCGGTAAGGCCTATGCGACCTTCTTTGCCTCGAGGGGCGCAAACGTCGTTGTGAACGACTTGGGTGGTTCTCACGCGGGTGAGGGCAAGTCGTCAAAGGTACGAGCCGAATCACGGCCACATGCAGGTTCTGGAATACTGTTACTAACATGGAGTCTACTATAGGCTGCTGATGTGGTCGTCGAGGAGATCCGTGCTGCCGGAGGCAAGGCAGTCGCCAACTACGACAGCGTTGAGAACGGTGAAGCTATTATTGACACCGCCATCAAGAACTTCGGCCGCATTGATATCCTCATTAACAACGCCGGTATTCTCCGGGATGTCAGCTTTAAGAACATGAAGGACCAGGACTGGGACCTCATCACCAAAGTTCACACCTATGGTGCATACAAGTGCGCAAGAGCCGCATGGCCTCATTTCCGGAAACAGAAGTACGGCCGTGTCATTAACACTGCCTCGGCTGCTGGTCTCTTCGGTAACTTTGGCCAGGCCAACTACTCTGGTAGGTACCAATGAACAGAGGCTATTCATAGATCAAGAAGCTGACAGTACCATTAGCCGCGAAGCTCGGTCAGGTCGGTTTCACTGAGACCCTCGCCAAGGAGGGCGCTAAGTACAACATCATTGCCAACGTCATTGCACCTATCGGTATGCAAAGAACACTAATCGTTAACTGTAACGAATGCTGACTTGGAACAGCCGCTAGCCGCATGACCGCCACCATCATGCCTCAGGATGTTCTGGACATTCTGAAGCCCGAATGGGTTGTTCCCTTGGTGGCCACGTTGGTGCACCCCTCTAACACAACCGAGACCGGTGGAATCTACGAAGTCGGTGGTGGCCACGCTGCCAAGCTGCGCTGGGAGCGTGCCAAGGGTGCTCTGCTCAAGACCGACGACTCCTTGACCCCCGGCGCTATCGCTAGGAAGTGGAACGATGTCAACGACTTCTCTCAGCCCGAGTACCCGACTGGTCCGGCCGACTTCATGACCCTCTTGGAGCAGGGTTTGAAGACCCCCAGCGCCCCGTCCGGCCAGGAGCCTGACTTCAAGGGCAAGGTTGCTCTTGTCACTGGTGGTGGTAACGGGTATGTGTTTTAGAACACGGCTTGAACATGACTGTTGCTAACGATTTTATAGTCTCGGACGCGCATACTGTCTGCTCTTTGCCAAGTATGGCGCCTCTGTGGTGGTGAACGATCTGGTCGACCCTGAGCCCGTTGTGCAGGAAATTAAGAAGATGGGTGGAAAGGCTGTCGGCAACAAGGCTTCCTGCGAAGATGGCGACGCCGTTGTCAAGACTGCCATCGATGCTTTCGGACGTATCGATATTCTGGTCAACAACGCCGGTATCCTGCGCGACAAGGCCTTCACCAACATGAACGACGACCTGTGGAACCCCGTTATCAATGTTCACCTCCGTGGTACCTACAAGGTTACCAAGGCCGCCTGGCCTTACATGCTCAAGCAGAAGTATGGTCGTATCGTCAACACCGCAAGCACCAGCGGTATCTACGGTAACTTCGGCCAGGCCAACTACGCCGCAGCGAAACTTGGTATCCTCGGTTTCTCCCGTACCCTCGCTATCGAGGGCGCCAAGTACAACATCAAGGTCAACACCATCGCTCCTAACGCCGGTACCAACATGACTCGTACTATCATGCCTGAGGAGATGGTCCAGGCCTTCAAGCCCGACTACGTCGCCCCTCTTGTGGTTCTTCTTTCCTCGGACATTGTTCCTGGAACTGGCACCAAGGGCCTGTACGAGTGCGGCAGCGGTTGGTTCACTAACACTCGCTGGCAGCGCTCTGGCGGCCACGGTTTCCCTGTGGACGTCAAGTTGACCCCTGAAGAGGTTGTCAAGAACTGGAACAAGATCACCAACTTCGATGACGGCCGTGCGGATCACCCTGAGGATAGTCAGGCTGGTTCTGAGAAGGTCATGGCCAACATGGGCAACCGCAGTGATGCCTCCGAGGGTGGCAACGACATCTTGGCCAACATCGAGAAGGCCAAGCAGGCGACTACCGACGGAACTGCTTTTGACTACGTCGACCGGGATATCATTCTCTACAACCTCAGCTTGGGTGCTAAGCGCACTGACCTGCCTTTCGTGTACGAGAACAATGAGCACTTCCAGGCTCTTCCCACCTTCGGTGTGGTCCCTTGGTTCAACACCGCCGTGCCTTACAACATGGACGACATTGTGAAGAACTTCTCCCCCATGATGCTGCTGCACGGTGAACAGTACATGGAGATCCGCAAATTCCCCATCCCCACCGAGGCCAAGACCCTGACCTTCCCCAAGCTCATTGACGTTGTTGACAAGGGTGCCGCTGCTCTTGTCGTTGCCGGTTTCACCACCAAGGACGCGAAGACTGGAGAGGATCTCTTCTACAACGAGTCCACCGTTTTCATCCGTGGCAGTGGCGGCTTCGGCGGATCCCCCAAGCCCACCGCCGCCCGCCCCAAGGGAGCCACCGCGGCCTACAAGGCTCCTCAGCGCAAGCCGGATGCTGTTGTCGAGGAGAAGACCTCCGAGGACCAGGCTGCTCTGTACCGTCTCAACGGTGACCGCAACCCTCTGCACATCGACCCTGAGTTCAGCAAGGTCGGTGGCTTCAAGACTCCTATCCTGCACGGTCTGTGCTCTCTGGGTGTCTCCGGTAAGCACGTGTACAGCAAGTTCGGTGCCTACAAGAACATCAAGGTTCGCTTTGCCGGTGTCGTCTTGCCCGGTCAGACTCTGAGGACCGAGATGTGGAAGGAGGGCAACACCGTCCTGTTCCAGACCACTGTTGTGGAGACTGGCAAGCCCGCCATTAGCGGCGCTGGTGTTGAGCTGTTGGAGGGGGCCAAGGCCAAACTGTAAATTATAATTAAACCGAGGACCTTTTGCGTGATGGCGAAATGATAGGATTAAATTGTGTACATAGATATTACGATTTCTGTTTCTTTCCAATTTAGCAATCTTTTTTGCAAGTTGACTTTCAAAATATGCTTACTTTTTCAATCTGGTGTATCTGACTGAGAATAGTCAATAATTCAATGGGGCCGATTCTTGATTGAAAGTCCATACCTAGGTCTTGTGGAAGCTTATTCTGATCGGATCAGGACGGGAACGAAGCTCGCTTTCCTTAACCTTCTTGCAACTAAGGTGGCCTGCTTTATCGCGGATCCACACCTAGAGATCCTCCACGGTTCCGCTTGGTGATTATACGTATTCGCGGTTAGCTTCGGATTATTACCAGCTATATATATCTCTGGATGTCTCTGGCATGCTTAACATACCTTGTATGGAAACCGATGTGAAAAGCACTAAAGACACAGGTAAAATACTTATATAGTGAGTGCTTGTATGGAGTCGTTCATCTCGACAAGCATAGTCATGTTTTGTTTCTCAACATATGTCACAATATCTTCTTTCCAATACTATGATACACTACAGACTGTACCTGTATTGCTATATTTTGAGATGAGCAGATGCCCTCTACCAACTTAGAATCTAGCTAGAGGTGTACTAATATCTTCTAGCGGCCTCTAACATCATGTATATACCATGTAGATCTGAGAATATAGTTTATTTACTAGTGATGCGATTATAGTGTTTAGCAGTGACGGGTAGGCGGTCTAGATTCCCCCAACATCGGCCCGCCATACGGTCATGTAACGTAACACAATACCATTGATTGGTGTCAACTTCATTCAACCTTCTCCATCACTCTCCAACTCCACTTATCTCTAGGCAGACAATTTGTTACCTCTCCATTTCTAACGTGTACTCACGCTACCCAGTATACCCCCTTACTTCAACATCTTTTTCGCCCCAGGCCGATCATGTAGCAGACTCCCCCGTCGACGCCACGATGGTCCTCTCGCTACCAGTTCCGAGTTTCTCCAAATCC